TTCACCAGGACCCGGCGTCGCTGACCGTGCCGAGCGAAAAGGACAGCGTGCGCAAGGCATCATCGAGTCGCGCGCCCGCACCCGCGCCCGCCAGCGCCTCGAGCGGGACGGCTGCGGCGACGTCGTCGAGATGCCGCCGCGGCTCGACCCTCGCGTCGTGCAGGGCCTGATGGCGGCGCAAGGCACGGGGGTCGAGCCCATGGCGACGGGGCACGACGATGATGCGGACGCCATGGAGCTGGACTGAGCGTGGCGCAGTGTGCATGGCGGGAAGCAGCAACGATATACCATGTACAAAAACAAACTTTTTCCACCACCACGAGAGCATGAAAAAGAAACACGACGACGGCGCATGGGGGCACCAATGACGGCACACGGGGGCGCCAATGACGGCACATGGGAGGCGTTTCTTGGTTTAGGGTTTCTTTCCTTTTTTTTCCGTCCCAAGACTTCCTAGCTATGTAGTAGCAGTACGGCAGCGAAAATACACTACCATTCAGCACAATCGTTATATCACACACAGTCCTTTCAGGGAAAGGGAAACAGAAAGACAAAACAGTAAGCAACGCTTGCGACAGGGAATGACTTGAGTGCAGCTTGACCCGAAATCCCCACCCTTCATCTTCATCATGTCATCCCGTCACCTGATCTCAACCCCACCCATCTCTTCACGCCTGCGGCCTGTCGAGAAACGGATTCGTGTTCCCCGTGGTGTTCGTCGCGACGCCCGTCTGCTGCTGAGGTGGAGGCGGCCCAGCCGGCGGCGCATAGCTCTCACGCCCATATGTCTGCGATGGGTCGACCTTGCTGCCGCCCTCGGGCGGGACATACATGGGCGGCCTCGCCGAGGAGGGGTCATACATGGGCGGCGGGGGCGGCATGTTCTGCATGCCGTAGCCGCCGTGGCCCTGGCCCTGCGCGTAGGCTTCGCCGTAGCCGGGGCGGTAGGTGGCGTAGTAAGCCGGCTGCTGGTGGGGGCGTCCGTAGCGGGGGTCGACCTGGGCGAGGACGGCGCGGCGGACCATCCAGCGGTGGTAGGCGAGGGGCAGGAGGCCCTTCTTGAGGCGACGCTTAGCATGGAGGTAGCCGCCGATGAGGTAGCCCATGAGGAGGAGGAAGAAGGCGAGGAAGAGGGACCATTTTACGATGCGGCCCTCCTGTAGACGTGGTCAGCGGGAACTGGCGAAGGCATGAAAGGAGGCATGCAAGGAGGCATGCAAAGAGGCATGAAGGGCAGGCATGGAGTTACTCGACGTACTCGGCTGTACCACCAGTGGTAGTAGTCGTCGTCGTCGTCTCTGT